TTTTAAAGACACAGTCTCTCTATGTGTGATCCTCCTGCCTCAGTCTCTGAGTAGCCGATCTGCACAGCCACAGTATCCAGCTTTTTAGAGTGGGCTACAAAGTAGGGCCTCCCATGCGGCCTCAGCCTGCCCAGCAGCTGTGTCTACCAACGCATGCTACTTGGGAGAGCCTCTTCCTATTATTTCCTACCCCCGAAGTGCACATCTGGACTTCTGCAAAGAGCCTTGGAGGGGTTTGCCTCAGTTGCTGTTTAGCCCCTCCGACTCTTCCACTTCTTACTGCCTGTGTATCTTCCCAGGGGAGGTCCCAGCTTGTCATCCCAGCACTGAGGAGCCCCCACACCTTCCGTGGCTTCCAACACACAGTCCACTCTCAGCCTGTGACCCAGCCTCCTTTCCTGTCTTTCTGTCTGCTCTTTGCCTTCTAAGCCCCATGTTATAGCAGAGCTGAAAGAAATGACCTGGGACTGACAGGTGGCGTGGTGGTTTAAGATGTTGGACTCCTACATGGCCAACAGCAGTTTAAGTCTCGAACCTGGTAGTTTGCTTTTTTCACCTTCCCTCCCTCTCTCTCTCACTGGCCAAACTGTAGTTTAAGTCTCGAACCTGGTGGTTTGCTTTTTTCACTTTCCCTCCCTCTCTCTCTCACTGGCCAAACTGAAAAGTAATAATAAAGTTAAATAAAATAATTAAAAAAAGATTATTCTCTGATGTACCTGCTTAATTCCATGCCTCTGTTAGTACGTCTTTACTCACCACGTTTCCCTCTCAACGCAACTCTTGGCCTTTTTTGAGGTCTTCCTCCATCTGCTTCCCCAAGCTGAAAGTAATTTTTACTTTCTCTAAACCACCACAATCCACCTGTATAGCTATGATACATGTATTTGAAATTATATTAGAGAGCAGTCATACTCATTTTGTATCTTCGGGTAGACCAAAAAAATAGATACAGTAATAAATACTTGTTCCAAGGGCTCTGAAGAATAGCACTGACAAAGGGACATCACTGTCCACCGAACGCAGGTGCCTCAACATGTTTTTGAAAAGCTGCACCTGAGCACAGGTAGAGCCTTAGTCTCTGAGGCTCAGGCTGTGCTGCCTTCCCAAAGGGCCACAGCAGACACAGGGACACAGAACATGCCCCCTGCCACAGCTCCCCCACCTCCCCAGTGGACTCGACTGCCCTGCATTTAGAATTTCTCTCGAGCTCACGTTTACCCTGACAGAGGACTAACATGTCGATGTTGTGTAAGACATTTAAACTCAAGTCCTGAAGAGACCGATTTCTTCCCCCTGGTAAATTTCTTTCTTTTTTTGTTTTTTGGAGAGGTTTTTGCTATAGGGCGTGTGTGCTCTCCAGACAGAGAGAGACAGTCAGAAAGCGAGAAATCACCTCCCCCCAAGGGGTATGGTCACACCACAACCCCTTCCCTCCATTCTCCTCTCGGGATCTTGGGCACGCATGCACACGCGCCCGGTGTGAGTTTAAGCCACCAGGTCTGGGACACGAACCGCAGTCGACTATGTGGGAGTCCAGCAGCGGCATAGCCATTACGCTAACTGCTGGTCCCCCCCCCCAGTAAATTTCTAATGAGAAAGAAAAATTCCCAATGAAGAAGAGAAAGAAGAAAAAACTGTCCGTTGCAGAATTGGCAATTAAATTCTCTTTTCCCAAATCCATTTTCTGCAAGTAATCTGACCTCTATCAGAACCAAGTTCTACAGAGTTGCACTGAAAAAGGACAATCTCATCTTTAACTGTTGCTTCCAAACTCAGTTACCAAGTTGTTTATATTCTTACTCGATTAACTCTTTAAAGGAAAAAAACCCAAAAAACAAAACCAAAAACATAGGGAGGGCCCAGCAGGTGGCATGATGGTTAAGATGCTGGACTCCCACATGGCCAATAGCAGTTTGAGTCCCAGACCCTGGTGGCTTGCTTTCTCACTTTCTCTCTCTCAAGCGCACATGCACTATAGCAAATTTAAAAATAATAATGATAACATGAAATAGATCATTCTTCAAAACCTAATTCCATAAAAATAAAATGTAGGAAGACAGTTTGGTATGGTTGTTGGGGGTTCCAGAAGCCCACACTGACTGTCTCCCTGTCTTGCTGTCATTAGATTTCTTCTCTTTTATGTCTTGGCTCTCTCCTCTGTAAAATTAGGATAATATTAGTGCCTGCCTTGTAAGACTGAAGGGAAATGTCTGCGAAGCGCTTAGCACAGAGACCGCGCATAATAAAAACTAAGCCGTTTACAGCAATGATCATAACAGCTGTGACAATGAAGCTGCTGTGAACAGAGGCTCCGATTATGGAGAGAGGTACTTAACCCCCAAGATGCGCGCACTACCTTCTCCATGGGAAAAGAGCCCGAGCAGTTTACACCAGGCCCCCGTGCGTGTGTCAGAGGTTAAATTAAGACTGTGCAAACAGCACTTGAGAGGCCCAGAACGGCTGGAGAAACCCATGCCAGGGTGCAAACACACTGTAGCTACTGCACCAATGCCAGTCTGATATGATTCCGAGGACTTCTAAAGATTCTGCGTTACTCTAGTTACTGCTCAGTGCGACTGAGTGTCCTAGATTTCCCCAGATATTCACACCTTAAGCCACTTGTGCCAGCATCATTTAAAATTTTTTATTATTATTTTAAATTTGACCAGAGAGAGAGAGGAAAAGTGAAAAAGCAAACCACCAGGTCCAGGCCTCGAACCATGGTCGGCTAAGTAGGAGTCCAGAACCTTAACTACCATACCACCTGTGGGTCCCTCCAGCATCATTTTAACGGGGCCCCCTCTAGTTCTGAAGAGTCTTCTGACCTGAGGCCATAATGTATATGGTGTATATGACCAACCCTATGTAATAGACCCTTCTGTGTTTATGTAAAGAAACCACCCTGTTTCTAAGACAGAAGCAATCTCAAAAACACCCGTACATTTCTAAAACTCATTTGCATGCTGCAAAGGACCTTGGACAGACTGACCTCAGGTCTTTGAACAGCTTCCCAGAGGCAGGTGGTTTAATGCGGGGAGCGCTAACCACGAACGAGGGTTTGTATTAGGTTTCTGCAAGTGAAAGTAAACTTTGAAGAATTCTCATGCAAGTCATAACCATCTGAGAACATTTTTCCTTTATCTTTGGCAACACGGAGGCACAAGAGGTCAATAACTTTTAAATGCTACACCGGCTTCCTGTGGATAAACTTGGTCAGTGTCATCAACCTCCAAGGAGCTCCCATACCGGCCTTCTGTATCTGAGAGCTAAATGGCTCAGTGCGTTTACAAGTGAACAATTTTTTTTTTCTTTTTTTGGAGAGGTTTTTGCTATAGGACGCATGTGCTCGCCAGACAGACAGACACATAGAGACAGAAAGCGAGAAATCACCCCCCAGGGGAGATGGTTACTCCGCAATCCCTTCTCCTCCATTCTCCTCTCAGGATCTTGGGCACGCACGCACATGTGCCCGGCGTGAGTTTTAAGCCACTGGGTCCAGGACGTGAACTGCGGTCGACTACGTGGGAGTCCAGTGACATAGCCATTACGCTAACTGCTGGTTCCCACAAATGAACAATTTCTGAAGTTAAAAACACACGCACTCTTTAACTGACTTGAAGGGTAGATGAAGTATGAAGTTTTAATATTTACATTAGAGTGGATGCCTTTTAGAGAATTCAGCAATATTATTCCACTTGATTCTAAGACCCCAGGAGCTCTGTAAAAGGAGTTACGTTTATGAAAACATTCAAATACATTTTGCTTCGCCCCTCCCCACCATGTAGCAATGACCACGGATTTTTTTCTGCACCTGTCCGGTGTCACCACTTGTATTTTTCTGTGCTGTTTGTGAGTACTTGATTATACCAATTAGAAAACAAATTCAGCCAACAGTTAAACATTATTTACTTAGCTGCCTGGCTTAAAATATTCTGCAGTAATATCACACGGGCATAGCAAAAGACGTACTGTATACGGTGGAAATTAATGAATACGCCAAGAACTATCTTCCTGTCTTCGCTGTTACAGAATCATCACATTCCACGATACAATGAGATTGTATAACGTTCTCACTTCGTCTTTCAGAACTAGCAAAAGAGGTGGCGAAACTCAGTCAAACAAAGTGGCGAGAAGAGTCGGAGGAGGGGCTCTGGAAGAGAAGGGGCGGAGAAACGCGATCCCCCAGCGGTGATATCACCCGCAGCTAACTGCACGGAATTCAGAAAGTTAAGTGTCACCCAGCAATTTCGGTCTGGGCTTGCGGCGCGCCTGCACAGCGTGGCGGCGGCGGCAGCGGTGGCGGCAGCACCCAGGGCGGGGGAGGAGTGGTTGGCCTGAGTTCCCTCCCGGGCCGCGGAGTGCTGGGCCACCCGCCTACCGGAGAACGCACGTTCGAGCCCCGGGTGGGGAGCGTGGTCTACAGCCCAGTAATGATTTCATCTCCGAGGCGCAGAGGCGCAGCCGCCCGGGCCGTGGTTGCCACGTGCCTGTCCGACCCCCGTATACTGCGCGGGGCGACCAACCCGGACGCGGGTCGCTGCGGGGCACAGCGGCGAGCTTAAAGAAAGGACTGGTGGCTGGAGAGAGGTCGACGGTGTCAAAACTGGGTTGCGGGGTTGCCCAGCCGATTCCGCCGGCCTCGGGAAGCTGCCCTTCCGAGCACCCCCACCCTCCTTTTCCCGAAAGGAAAAGCCAGAGCACAGGGCAGGTTTCGCAACTCCGAGGGCGGATGCTGGACAAATGTGGCCGAGGGGGATGGAGCAGCCATGCCTTCCTGGGTCCCCGGCTCTGGCAGGCCAGGTTCCCGGCCTGCGCCCCGCCGCGCAGTGCGCGCTCCCGGCGGCATGGCCGTGACTGTCCAGCCCCCGCCCGAGCCGGGGAGCAGGCCACCCGCGTAGGGGACAGTAGCGGCCACGGGCCCGGCTGGTCGAGCCCTCCACTCCTTCCGCACCCCTGGCCCTGGGTACCTCTTCCCCGGCCCCCCAGAGAAATGCTCGTACCTTCCACCGCCTCCTCCACGATCTCGTCGTCGCTATCCATGGCGGCGGGGGGCCCTGGCCAGCTCGGGGCCGCGGGGACTGCTCCCGCCAGCTCGGGGCTGCGCGCCTGCCTCCGGTCCCTCCGGGTGCTCCCGGCAGCTGAGCGAGCGCAGGGGCTGAGCCCTGCGAGTTTGGAGGAGGAGGAGGAAGAGGAGGAGCAGTCGGGGCTGGCTCGCACTGCCTCCCCCTACAGCCCTTTCGATTCCTTGGCCTTCAGCTGCTGCGGCAGCAGCCGTCCTCCTCCCTTCGCCCGCTTGTCCCTGGGCTCCGAGGCTCCGGGGTGCCGCGGTGGCCGCTGCCGCCGCAACTTTCTCGGTAATACCCGGTCTTTGTTGCCGAGCAGCTGATCCGCTGACATCACCCGCGCCGGTGCGCTCCCTCCCTCACTGATTGACAGTTCCCTGTCCCTTCCCAGAAGTAAGGCTCCTTAAAACGAAAGGCTCTCGGGCGGTGCGTACTCTGCACCCCGGCCAAGCACCCCCCGGCCCCGGGCCGGTTTGCGATGATCTAGGGCTTCCGCGCGGCTCGGGGCGCTCCGAGCGCACCACGCGGTCCTGGGCGCCACGGGCTTCTCGGGGGTACCCGAGGGGGATACCTAGGGGGTCTTGGCGCTCCTGACCTCCGACCATACCAGGGGCGACTTAGAAGTCCGCGGTTCCCCCGACCCCCTTTGGGACAGTCTCCAAAGTGCAGGGGAAGCTAAAGAGTATTTCTGACCCTGGCGCCCCGACTTCCTCTCCCCTCGTCCCCACGTCACCCCATTTGCCACCCGGAGCTGCACGAGTGCGGCACGCACGGGAGCGCAGGTGTCCCGGTGGCTCCTCCCCACGTCAGACCCCGGGGGTTGTCATCCGCTGACTTCCCGTCTCCACCCTCTGTCGGATCGCCAGGCCCTGGGGTGACTCGGAAATTCCACCTAACCAAACGGCAGCGGGCTCCTTAGAGGCAGGGAACGTGCCGCCGGGCAGGTCGGCCTGTCCCTGCTGGCAGCCGTAGTCCTGGAAAAGGAGTCCCGGAGTGGAGCTAACGAGCGGGGACCCTCCAGCTGGCGCGCCTCCTCCTCGCGCCTCCCGCCCTGCGTGCCTTGTCCCCAGCTGTCGTCTGCGAGTGCCAGCCACTCCGCAGACTCCGGCGTCTCCAAGTGGAGAAAACCACTGGGCATCCGGTCCCCAGCCCCCGAGGACGAGAGAGCGTCCTTGTGGCGCTGCCTCTTACAGGTGGCGGTAAAGGGCGGCTGCCGGTAGCCGGTAAATGGCTGCAGACACTGGGGTTACCGGGTGCCGCTAGGGGCACCCTGCCGGGGCTGGCTACCGGTGGGGAGAGGGCAGGGCCAAGAAAGTTACTCCCTTTTGTTTGCTGCACAGTGGACGAAGCCTTGGGATTTCAAAGTACTTCCAGAGCCCTGCAGACCACTCCTTGCTTTTAGCTCTGTGCTTAAATGCCAGGTATTTTCGTTGGCCGGTTTGGTTTTGTTTTCTTTTGATAGAGGGCACGTGGGCATGCCAGAGAGAGACAGAGAGAGAGAGAGAGAGAGAGAGAGAGAGAATGGGGAATGGCCACGAGGCAATCTCTCTCCATCCTCCCCCCTCAGACACCACACAGGTGCCTGCCTGGTGTGTCTCTGAAGTCACTGGGTATGGGACCCAAGCTGCCCTATGTGGGATCTGGCTGCCTTAACCACCAGGCAACAGACAGCCCTATTGATGTATTTTAAAGTGTATTTTATTTATGGCTTTCATGGGGGAGACAGGGAGACAGAGACAGTGACCCCCCCGACGCTCAGTGGTTCTGTCTTGGTTCCCCAGCCAGCATCAGGATCAGGGTATGCGCAAGGGTGAGCCTGGTGTGTTCAGTCCACCTCCACCTCAGCCCTGGGATCTAAACCCAGCCCCAAGCCAGCCCCTCCCATGTGCCTCCGATATCCTTTAGCGGCGCCCTCCCGCGTGTGCAGCCTTGCCTGGGCGAGGTGTTTCCTCTGTGAGAAAGAGAACAATGGTGGGAACATTCTGCACACAGCCTGCCAAGCATGTCAGCCCATTCTGATTGTTTTAGGAAGACAGGAGAAGACCCAGAGCCAGGAGTCGGGAGTCTTGCATCGTGGTGCTGCTGGATTGCCAAAGTGCCCAGAGTGGCCACCCTACCAGCCTGAATCACCCTCCCGGAGGTCAGAGGCTTAGGGGACACTAAGTAGAAGGTCCCTCTGCCTAGGCTACACCACATTGAGGTGCTCTAGCCTTGTCTAGAGCTCTTCCGTCTCCTGGCCCGGCTTTGACCTTTTTAAAGTCATCCAGGGCAGGTCTGGGCCCCAGCGCTACTCAGAGAAGGTGGTCCTTGGTGGGACAGCCAGGAGTCCCTTCAGGTTACATCATTTTCAAACAACCATAGAAACTGGATTTCATTTCTTACTTCTTTTTAAAAGCTATCACTTACTGAGCTTGACCATCCACTAGTTTTGAGTTATAGGATATGTCACTGTTTCCCTTTTTCCGTATCTAAACCTCCTTCCTTACATAGTACCCTGACAGCTACAAACACCGTAGTATTCATCTTCCCTGGTGCCCAGGTTATTTCCAGGGGCAAAAATGATTCTGAAAGCCAAAGGGGACAGCAAAAATAATTTAGTCCTTTACTCAAAGGGGAAATGCCACAGTGAGGTAGGTTGGAAGAGATCTCTCCTCAGAACATATGGGAGAGTCCCAGCCGTGGTGACAGCGGTAGAGCACGGCCCTGCAGTGCTGGAAACCACGTGCAAGACTGAGCTTCAGTCCCTGGGCTGGCCTGTACCTGCCTGTCAGCCGGGAAGGGCTGGGGAGGGAGCACAGTGTGTCACCCTATTGAAGATGCGTGTCTCTCTCTTTCTCATGAAAGGAAGAAGGAAAAACTTCAAAACAAAAAGCAACACGGGGGGTCAGCTGGTTTTGTGGTGGTTAAGGCAGCTGGATCCCCCATGGCCGACTGTACCATGTGAAACCTGAACTCAGTGGCTTGAAAAACACCCCAGGGATGTGTGGGTGCCTGCCCGAAATCCTGATAGGAGGAGGAGAAGGGGTCGCTGTGTGGCCATCGCCCCAGAGGATGAATTCTCAGTTTCCTTCTCTCTGTTTCTGTTCAGAGAGCATGTGTGCTCTCTAGTAAAACTATTGGGTCATTGGAAAAGCCACAACATACATTTCTATGCAAAATGTGTCATGACTTTCCCAAAAGCCCAATAAAAACAAAACAAACAAAAAGCAGTGCTGACCCATAGCCTAGTGGTTAAGGGAGCTGGATCCCACGTTTGAGCATAGGTCAAATCCTGGCCCAAGCAACTTGAGAAACATACAGTGCAGGTGCATGAGTGCCCAAAATCCTGAAAGGAGGGAGGAATGGAGGAGTGATTGCAGCGTGCCAGTCTCCCCTACAGGGTGCCTTGTCACTTTCCCGCTCTGTCTTTCTCTCTCTGTCTCTCTCCAGTGAGCACACACGCCCTTTGGCAATTAAAAAAGGCGAGACACACACACTCAGGAGATGCCTTCTTGTGGTGTGTGAGGAGCGGGGGTAGAGAGAAGACTCACATCACAGTGGCCTTGCCCCTATCTTTAGGTTCAGAAAAGGATGCCAACCACCTGTTGGTACCATGAAGTTCTCCCAGTCTGTCCTGCACACCTGAACTGTGGCATGCTCCCTTCTGCCTTGCTATTTTTTGGGAGAGGTTTTTTTGCTATAGGGTGCATGCACTTGCCAGAAAGAGACAGATACACAGTGAGAAATCACCCTCCAAGGGGGATGGCCATGCTGCAATCCCTTCTCCTCCATTCTCCTCTCAGGATCTTGGGTACGCACGCACACACGCCCTGTGTGAGTTTAAGTTGCCGGATCTGAGACTTGAACCGCAGTCAACTATATGGGAGGCCAGCGACATAGCCATTATGCCAACTGCTGGTCCCCCACCCTACTATCTTGAGAACTCCCGGAACCCTGCACACAGCCCCTGTCACTGAAGCAGGCCTCCTCTGGTCCTGTAAGGGGCCAGGTGAGAGCCGCTAGTGTCTTTAGGCAGACTCAGCAGCTGTGAGAGTGAACGCCACCCAAGACACAGCAGATGTGCACGGGAGGCAGCCAGGAGCCTGGGCACAGCCCCGCCCCCACTCGGGGCCCACGGTTTAGGCGAAATGATAAAGATACACTTGCAGGGCTCAGCAGGTGGCATGGTGGTAAGAGCTGCTTCATTTGAGTCCTGGGAGCAGTGGCATGGAAAAATACATACACAGGCTGCATGTGCATCAGCACCCCAGATCCGGAGAGGAGAGCATAGGAGAAGGGACGGAGGTGTGGCCGTCCCTCCTGAGGCTGCTCATTTTCCCTCTCTCTGTCTCTCTCTGGCATGCACATAGCCTATAGCAAATTTTGAAAAGGGACACTTGCCTTTTTACAAGCATTCTGTGTATGTCTTGAATCTCCTTCTCTAGGCTGACCGGTTCTTATTTATAGCCCAGAACCCAACCAGCCGGGTACAGAATGTGGGTTACGTGTCGTCAGTGCCCAGTGTGGGATTGGCAGATAGGAATATTGTGTTTTCTGTAAACAGCATTGAGCCTCCTCGCAGACCGGATCCTCTTCCTGTGTTTGGCAAAGCGCTTTGTTGCAGTCCAAGTCCGAAGCGCGTCTCTGAG